TAATTAATTAAGATGGATAAAGAAGAAAGAGGTGTCCTCAATGTCTTTTGACATAGAAGCCCAAAGAGATGCCAAAAACTTGATCTTGTCATATGGAGCACCGGTTTCTTCTTCCCCACTTTTAATTCTTTCACCCCAAATCACTCACAAAAGAGCCGAACTTTGTATCTTGAACAGTGTGTATTTCATTTTTCAATACTATCCCTTGTTATTGCTTTTAAATTGGAAAAAAAAACTTTTTTTTCAAAGAAAAAACAATAGGACTTTGATTATTTTTTCTTTAGAATAATGCTAGTAGATGTGAAACTATTTTCTCTAATAAGAAAAATGTATGATTATTTTCCATCTTCCATTTTGAGTGCCGTAACTTAAACAGTGTTGTAGTCAATATTTTTAAAAATCTTCCCAAACAGCCTGTTTTTTATAATAGAGGAAGCCAACCATGTCTTGGCATTGCGCCATTATGATTAATATATGGATTTCGCATAATTTTTTTTATTATGCATCTCATTTCTTTTGTTGCACTGATGCGAGGTTTTGGGTATGGCCTCTGGACTAACTTGAATTTTACTTACATTTAATTGCAGAACTGTGTGGAGCAAAATGTGCCTGTCAGAGTAATTCGTGGTCTGAAATCTTCTACTAGTTATACTGGAAAAGTTTACACATATGATGGTTTGTACAAGGTATTTTTTTAATAGAAACTTGTTTGCCTTTAATTTATTTGTTTATCCAACAACACATCTTGTTTTATGGAATTATATGTTGAAATTGAATCAATAATATCTTTTAGATACTATGAAAGGTGTAAACCATGCTGGTAATCAAATTACATTCTCTTTGCTTTCTTAATGGGGATGTGATTCTGTTTTGAATTCAGAGATTCATTCTATCAACCGTGTAGTAGTATTGAGTTTTTTTGATACAGATTGGTTTTTTGCTTCCATTTAGGCTTCAGTTGTGAAGGAGTTTCAATCCTGTGCCTTTATATAGTGAGTAATACTATACATACATCATTTCCATACAACATTATGTGGTAAGATATGATTAACTAATTTAAAGTTAAAATTAAACTTTCACCCAATCATATCTTGCCACATAATGTTGTATGGGAAATGTTGTATGAAAATAATGTATGTGTAGTATTATTCTTATATAGTTTACTATAGTCCTTACATGATTTTTTTTTTTTAATTCTTTTTGGACACTTGGTCTAGAGTTGTATCTCCTCATCTTTTTACTTTTATACAGTGTTCTTAGTTTCTGAACCAAAAAGAGAAATGTGATAGCTGAAGTATATCTTTGCTCTGTTGAAATCTTTGCAATCCCGTTTTGCATGTTAAAGACGTTAAAGAGGGAATCAAGATGAACAAAGTTGAAATTGTGTGGTTCTGGTTAGATTAGAGTCGTTTGGATTTGCATGTTTGTCATGCTAAACTGTCACTAGGCACAATGAGCAACTCAGCAGATATTTTGGTCAATTCTCTTGAATTGAAATTAACACTACTGATGTGATTTTTGCTAATTTTGATGTTATATTTGGAACACTGTGCTGAATTCTATGTTTTTACTTTTATACTTAGTAATATGAGTGATTATAGACAAACATGTTTTAGTCTCTTTCTCAAAGTTTTTGCCTAATTGTAGCCAAGACCTTTTGGTTTGGAAATAGGCTGAGAGAGGCCTTTGATACAATTTTATCTTACGTTTGGAAAGATGTTTTATGATTTTAAGGGAGGTTTTATGACAGTTGTCAAAATATCAAGGGAGGCTTAGAGTATATAGAAAAGTTTGATTGTATTTTAGCCAAAACTCAAAGGTAAGCATTGAATTTCTTTCAACAATATAATTTGATTTATTAATTTTGTTTCCTGTGTTGCAGGTTGTTCAATATTGGGCAGAAAAAGGCATTTCTGGCTTTACCGTCTTCAAGTATCGCCTAAGGCGGCTTGAAGGACAACCTATACTGACAACTAACCAGGTGCATTCCTTGTCTGTTAATTTTGTTGTAGCAATTTTCTTATTTTTTGAGTTTGTCTTTTCACTGTATGCCTTATTTTTTTCTTTCACTGAGAGCTTTTGCCAATAGGTTTGTTTTGTTGTCTTCAAGTATCGCCTAGGGGTGTTGCTGTATCACCTTGTTGGATTTCATGATAATTTTGTTTTTCATAGGAAGAATTTTTTGGTATTTACTGTAGGTACTTTGGTTTTTTGATATGAAATAGCTCTCAGTACTTTCTTATAATGATTTGTCTTCTATAACAAAGTAATGAATAAATTTATATAACCCTAAATATGTTTGCTCATTATGACAGGTTCATTTTACCCACGGACGTGTTCCCCAATCTATGTCAGAAATACGAGGGTATTAAAAGAATCAATGTTCATTTAAAATAGAATATCAACTTTTAATTTTTTATTGTGATTAAACTCTATTCTTTTGTTGGCAAAGGTTGGTCTGCGAGGACATTACAGGGGGCCAAGAGAATTTTCCCATTCCAGCTACGAATTTGGTTGATGATCCTCCTGTTGCGCCAACAGGCAAGGCAAACTATTGAAATTTAATATCAAAGTGTTGATTACTTATATAAAAGAAAATGCACATAGTTGAAAGAAATAGTTGGTATGTTCGGTTGCCTCTCTAACTTCTCTCATTTTTCACAGAACAATTAAATGTTTTCATATTAAGCATAGTGATTTAATCACACAAGTATCTTTGATGAAAATCACAAAGAATAAAAAATTGGGAGAGAATTTAGGTGTGTTAAATATGCTAGTGGATGCATGACTTATTTATTTCCAATTAATGTATTTCAAAGTTATTTTTAAGTGATAATCCTTGGACTAAGCCCTTGGTGCACCATAGCACCCCCTTGGTCTCTTTTTTTAATCAAAATGGAAATATTTCATAGAATGAATACAACCCTTTATCTACTTAACCATCTCTTTCCAAAACCTTTTGCTTTTAGAACAAGTTAAAAAAAAGTCCAATCTAAAGCATCATATGTTTTCCAGAAATTGATTATATTGTCATCAATTGTTTTTCTTCCCGCACTTCTCTACAACCTTATTTGCCATTAACACAACAGAAAAAATATGCGTATCTTTTATAAAAGCAGATTGAATTGCCAAATTGTCTTTTTTAAAGCTTCTCTTAGTTGAAGAGTAAGCACTTATTAGCATTAGCCACAATTTTTCATTGACCAGAGCCAAATTTATCTTAAGCTAATCAAATTCAATGCCATGCTTGATTTATATTGAAATTGTGGTACTTTAGTGTTCCTTTTTGGTGATGAAGTGAAGAATTTCAGGTTTTACTTATTGCAAGACTTTACAAGTTGCAAAAAATGTAAAGCTCCCTGCTAGTGTCATCGGATGCAATTGCAAAGGAAGTTGTGAGAATTCCAGGATTTGTTCTTGCGCAAAGCTTAATGGTTCTGACTTTCCATATGTGCGCCGTGATGGTGGCAGGTAAAATTTAATGTGGTGAAGTATTATTTTTCTGACTTATGGCTTGAATTAAAATTAATTATACCATAATGATTTTGAAGATATTGATCATCTTCCATGAAGTATTGTGAATGGACTATTTTTTTGCTAAAAAATCAACATTTACATGATAAAGCTTCAAAATATTCTATACACCTGTTTACTTATTACAACCCTATTGTTTCTTCTCATATTCTAGCCTAGAAAATCGAGAGTGAAAAAAATCTAAGATGTTGTTTTCAAAGAGTCTCTTTTGCCAAGCTAAGATCTTCTATTACTGGTATTGCTTCCCTGGATGTTTATGTCCACAATTTGATTATATTTCAAATATTCAACAAATCAGCAACTTTCACACTTAGAGCGCCATGTAGTTGCTTAGAGAACTGTATGTTTGAACTTTGGATCTGTCAACGATAACAAGCAAGAAGCTTTAAGAAATTTAAATTAATGAGATTCATTGTCGGGGAACAAAATATGCACAAATCCTTGTAACATCAATGGGCAATTTGCAATTTGATCTCCATTTATCTGAAGATACAGTAAAACCTCTGTATAGTGATACTCTAATGGAATAATCTTGATGTTGTCATAAAAAATTATGGTTCCAACTTGGGTCAGCTATAAATAAAAATAAACTCCATATTATAATAAATTATAATTTTTTTGGGTTTCGTCTTAAGGAATTTGTTTATACATAGCAATAATTATTTGTATATTGTAAAAAATATATGCTATGTTATATTAAAGATTTAAGATGAAATAAAATAATTATTTAAAATTGTTTTAGACAATGGTTTATACTTTAGAGTTGTTATCACATCTTTGAATTTGCGGGTGCATAATAATTCGTTAGCATAGACATCTTGACACGAAACTTTTTGCATTTATAGAATTTACATTGAGAGAAAAACATTAAAGGGAATGCAAAATTTGAGGCTCTTAAGATGACTTTGCATATTCCCAATACTATATAGATACATGTACTAGTTTTTTGAAACTATGTTTATCTTCTTTATCAATGTCTATACTTTAGATTTTTGACATGCTCTATTAATTAATTATTAATATAGCGCATATTTTACCTTTATATTACTTGCAGTAAGGATAATTAAGACAAAACAATAATTTTTGTAATTACACCTTTATTAAATTATAATGTTTTTGTAGTAATAAAATTAGTTTGATCTCATCATTATGACTATAGAGAGGTTTTACTGTATATGGATTTATGTGGTGGATTTAGTTGGCTTAAGGGAGAAAGGAATGAAGGTTGGATGGCTAGATCAAGAGAGAGAAACAGAGGATTTTTCTTTTAATCTCGTTGTAGATACAAAATTATAGTTACTTTCCAGTGTTCAGACTAATAGATTGATCTGAATTTTGTGGAAGTTGATTGATAAATTTAGAACAGCAGGGGTTTGATTGATTTTGGTTAAAAATTTAGGGCCCTCAAGGAAACTTAGCCTTTTAGTTTTTGATCTTCTGATCTGGTGCTATTTTTATTGTTCTACCCTCCAGATTGATTGAAGCAAAGGATGTTGTGTTTGAATGTGGTCCAAATTGTGGGTGTGGGCTTGATTGCATCAACCGGACATCTCAGAAGGGGCTGATGTATCGGCTCGAGGTTTGTCACAATAACTAATAGCCAACAGTTACATCTCTCGCATTCTGTAAAAGATTTTCCATTATTAAATGTTGCAAATACAATACCCCTTTGCTGATAACAGGTTTTTCGTACCCCAAAGAAAGGATGGGCTGTTAGATCCTGGGACTTTATACCTGCTGGGGCGCCGATTTGTGAGTACACAGGAGTACTCATGAGGACAGAAGATGTGGATAATGACTCTGAGAGTGATAATAATTATATTTTTGACATTGATTGTTTGCAAACAATAAGGGGGCTTGGTGGAAGGGAGGTACTGTTTAGCATCTTGACTTAATATTTTATATGTTGCTATTCTTTATCCTATCAATTTTCCGTCCACTGGCTGAGTAACTATTCCTGTTGGTCTTTAAGTCGAGGCCGTTAATGCTGGCAAGGTTTGGGCTAGTCATTGCATTTCATAATCCATGGCTACAAATTGTAGCAAATTCTGTCTACAACTCATTGCTTGATTTCTGGAAACCATGTCAGTCTAAATTGGCTTATCTACTTATCTACCTGTAATGTAACACTTTGTGCTTTTTATGTTTGACATGTAGTTCATAGGAGATTGCGGTAAATTCATCACTGTACTATAGACATATTAAAGAAGAAATTGAGGTGAATACATTAGCGTACTGGAGATCTATGAAGAGATAATATTATCTGTAAAGGGAAGCAATTCTATACAAGACAGTGACAGAAAAATGTCAAGGATAATCTACCCTTATCTGTGTCAAAATAAGCTAACTGTACAAAGTTATCTCAAAACTAAAGCCCAAAACCCCTTCACAGATATGTGATGTACTCAATTACAATTTTATTTTGATAGGGTTTTGCTGTTTTTTTCTTTTTTCTTTTCATGCTACATTTGAATTTACATTGATATTTTTTTTTAGAGGCGACTAGGAGATGTATCCATACCAACAGTGCATAATTCGGATAGACCTGATGATCAGAGATCTGAAAGTGTTCCAGAGTTCTGTATTGATGCAGGTTCCATGGGAAACATTGCCAGGTTTATTAATCACAGTTGTGAACCTAATCTCTTTGTCCAGTGTATTTTGAGCTCGCATCATGATGTTAAACTTGCTCGGATAGTGCTATTTGCAGCAGATAACATACCTCCTTTGCAGGTTAGTTACTGTTCCCCATTCTTTCTCATTCTTGTTATTACTAATCTATTCTCTCTTGAAAATAATACTCAAAATGTTTATTGTCTAAAATTGGAGCTAAGAAGATATACTGAATGGTTTTTGCCCCCCTTATATTGCGTTAGGCTTGACTTTTCTCATAATGAGCTTGAACTTTTTAATTTAGACTTTGTATAGGCTGAAGTACATGGACTATCAAGGGAATTGAATTTGTGACTTGCTACTGTTGTTGGGTACTTGTAGGAGCTTTCCTATGATTATGCTTATACACTAGATAGTGTGTGTGGTCCTGATGGGAAGGTGAAGAAGATGCTATGCTACTGTGGCGCAGCTGACTGTAGGAGTCGGTTATTCTAGGTTTACCTGTCTGTCCTGCTTCCTTTAGCTGACAAAGTTACCTTATTGTGTATCAACGAGGTAATCACTTGGTTTTCTGGTGGTGGTCTTTTTTCTTTTTCTTTTTTGTTTTTGGGGGGAATAATTCAACAATTATGTCCTTGAAAATTTTGATGCGACCATTGTAGGCTCGATAGTGTTGCAGTATAGTGTTTTTTTCTGGTTGACATTATTCACTGATATTTGTTATAGCTCAAGAGAAATGAGAGAAGAATAATGTAAAAATTGTAAGCATTATTGAAAATCTGTATCAGATGTGAATCGTCATTGACAAATTGCGACAGATAAAGTTTATGATGTTTGAGTGGAAGTATGTATATCTTTCTTTAGGAAACTGAAAAGTTTTAATTATAAAATTTTTCAATGGTTCATTTCTTTAAAATTCTTTTGAAGTTTAGAATCGTTGGTGAAAGATACTTCCATTTTTGAAACTTACGTTTTTTTAATGTTAATCGGAAGCTCTACTTTATTTAACTAAATGATAAAATTATATTAAGTAGACCCATACATAACATTAAGTTGGTAATGATTGATACGATCTAGAATACAAATTGATTTGTCTTCCATAGGATTTGATTTAAGAAATAAATATAAGGGCATTTAAAATGGCTTCCTGTTAGGGCTAAAAAATTGTCTTTAGCCCAAGTAGGACAATACATTTGACAAAGAGGAAAGCCTAGGCCCAGTCTCGGTATGAAGTACATTCGGTTCATACCATTTGGACCTAGGCCTCTTGATCCTAACACACCACTTGGGCCTATGGTTCAATTTGGAGCTCACAGTCACTTACAGATCACACTCCTACTTGAATTTTGATAGGGCAGTCTACTATTATCATAACTCCTCTAAGATTTGTATCTGAATCATACTCGGGCTCTCTTTCATGTCGGGATAAGGGGGTCAAAGGATACATCCCTGATAGGGAACTTATGCTGAAAGGATTCTGCTCAATCATCTCCGGAGGGTCAGCGATTAGTGGGGTCAGTTCCGGCAGAGCCAACAATCATCATGAAATCCAATCCATCCATCCGTCCTCTCGGTCACACTCCTACCAGGTAATTCAGCTCGAAGATGACGAGTCGATCACCCTGGCTGCCCCCCATCACAATGCTCTAGTCGTCTCCCTCTAGATCGTCAACATCTAGGTCAAGAGGGTATTCATAGACGGGGGATCCTTTGCAAACATTCTTTTCCTTGAAGCAGTGAAGACTATAGGTCTAGAAGAAACAAACATCAACAGACGGTCGACCCTATTGGTTGGGTTCAGTTTCGAGCAGAAATACACCATCGGAGAGATCGTCCTTCTTATTTACGCCAGCGGAGTAAACAAGTAGACCGTTTTTCTAGTGATCGACTGTCCTTTACCATACAACGTCATCATGGGTCGACTTTGGATCCACGACATGCGAGTTGTTCCATCCACTTTCCATTAAATGGTCAGGTTTTCTACCAAGTGGGGAGTACGAGAAATCAAAGGTGACCGTAAGACTTTCAGAGATTGTTACAAGAACGCCTTCAAAAGCAAAGGTAATGCTTCATAGCAATTACAGTCTCATCCAACTCCTCCGACCGAGCCAAATCAACCATCTATGGAAGAGTTGGATGAAGTACAGATACACCTGGAAGACCCCGAAAGAAAGACCCATATAGGTTCTCGCCTTAGGCCCGAGACAAGAGAGAAACTGATAGAATTCATCAGACAAAACCAGGACTGTTTTGCTTGGTCCCACACTAACATGACAGGAATCAGCCCAGAGGTAATGGTCCACCATCTTAAAGTACCGCTTCATCTCTAGATCCGCTGACAAGTGCCACCTCTTTTTCCACACACTCAAGAAATCCAAGAAGTTCGAGTGGACCCTTTCCTGCGAAAGGAAGCCTTGTAACAATTGAAGAGATACCTGACCTCCCCTCCGCTCCTCCCCTCTCCAAGCCTGTGGATGGGGAGAAGCTTTACACCTATCTGACAGTCTCAGAGACAGCAATCTCAGCAGTGTTAGTTCGGGAAGATGATACGAAGCAACTACCGGTTTACTATGTAAGCAAGTCACTCTTCGACGCGGAAACACGATACAGTCAGCTGGAGAAACTGGTCCTCGCCCTTATCCACGCATCTAGGAAGCTAAGGCCATACTTTCAGTGCCACTCTATAATTGTACTCACCTCTTTTCCGCTTAAGAAGATACTACACAAGGCAAAACTATCAGGCCGACTCACGCAATGGACAATAGAGCTTAGTGAGTTAGACATATCTTTCCAGCCACGTACTGCCGTAAAGTCCCAAGCATTGGCAAACTTCATCACTGATTTCACCCCGAGCACCACCGTCCAAGCAGAAAGAGAGTTATTATGTATGAACAGTGGGCCGCCTTCTAAGTGGACTCTCTTAGTGGATGACTCAAGCAATGTGAATGGAAGCGAGCTCGGGCTAGTACTAACTACAGTGGAGGGAGATGTCATCCAGCGGGCTTGGGCTAGTACTAACTACACTAAAGGGAGATGTCATCCAGCGAGCAATACGATGTGGTTTCAAGTGCACGAACAACGAAGCCGAATATGAGGCTCTCATCGCTGGACTCTTCATAACCAAAGAAATTGGAGTAAGGAGGCTGGAGGTGAAGTCCAACTCCTAGCTCGTGGTCAACCAGGTGCAAGACACCTACTAAGCACGCGACTCGAAGATGACGGCCTACTTGAACCTGGTCAAAGAATTGTAGACCTAATTCGAAGAATTCTCTATCGCCCAAGTCCCAAGAGCGAAGAACTCTCATGTTGATGCCCTTGCTAACCTTGGCTCAGCCCTTCAATGTTCTTCCCAGTCATCTATCCTTCTGTTATTCCTACAATGGCTAGCCAACTGGAAGGAACAACCAACAGACAAGTCGCTCGAAGAAGCAATGGACATCGAACTGGCTGATTGTTGGATGACCCCGATAGTGAAGTACTTGGGACACAACGAGCTCCTGATTGACAAACGAAGCACGCCGCCTAAGAGTAAGAGCCGCCAGGTTCACCATATATGAGGGCACTCCTTAGGAAATCATTCTCCGGTCTCTACCTTAAGTGCACTGGCCTAGAAGAGGTCAAATGTGTTCTAGCCGAACTCCATGAAGGCGAGTGTGGAAACCATGTAGGAGGACGCAGCCTTGCACACCGGGTGATCACCGCTGGATACTATTGGCCAATCATACGCGCTGATTTGACGACTTATGTTAAGAAGTGTGATAGTTGTCAGAGGTTCTCCCATGTCTCACACCTCCCACCCTAGCGACTACACTCCATTCTCACACATTGGAAGTTCATGAAATGGGGAATGGATATAGTTGGAAAGCTACCGACTGCACCTAGGTAACGAGTTTTCTTGTTTTCTATGACTGATTACTTTACTAAGTGAATCAAAGTCGAAGCTTTCGCACAAGTCAGAGCCCGAGAGGTAAAAGCTTTTATCTGAAAACATGTTATTTGTAGGTTTGGGATACCGAAGGAAATCGCCACCGACAATGGATCCTAATTTATCAGTTCAGGTTTCAGGGATTTCTGCGACATGTGGGGGATCAAGCTAAGCTTCTCTACCTGTCGCAGCCCCGAGTCCAACGGCCAGGCCGAGTCATTGAATAAAACCATCATACAGACCTTAAAAAAGCGACTGTAGAAAGTGAAGGGTGCATGGGCAAATGAGCTACCCAAAGTCCTTTGGTCCTATCGAACTACAATTCGCTCATCCATGGGCGAGACTCTTTTCTCCCTCACATACGGATCTGAAGCAGTCATCCCGGTCGAAGTATCGGTTCCTTCCATCAGACTCCAATGGGCGGACGAGGAAACCAATAACCAGAACCTTTTCCAGAACCTCGACACCATCGATGAGCTTCGCGAGCTGGCGAGCATCTGCAACACAGTCTACCAGCAGCAGGGCGCCCAGCACTACAACTGCAACGTAAGAATCAGAACTTTCAAAACAGACGACTGAGTCCTCTGCAAGGTCTTTCAAAACACTAGGGAGATCAACTATGGCAAACTTGGCCCTACTTGGGAGGGTCCCTATAAGATCACCAAAGAAGCGGGGAAGAGCGCCTACTGACTCCAGACTCTCGAAGGCAAAGACATCGACAACAGTTGGAATGAAGTCCACCTCAAACGCTACTACTTTTAGGTGAACTCATTCGTCTACATGTTTGTTTTCTTTTTGTTTTTATTTAAAAGGGACGAGTGGGCCTATCCACCTCCTTCACAAGCAGTCGGCCTTATTGCCTGAATTCAATGAAGTATTATTCAGCAATTTACATATTCGGTCGGCCCTGCCCGATCCATGAGTTTTACACCATTGAATCGGCCCTGCTCTATTCACGAGTTTACACCATCGAATCGGCTCTGCCCGGTTCACGAGTGTAATCGGATTGGCCTTGCCCGATTCACGAGTTTACACCTTCGAATCGGTTCTGCCCGATTCATGAATTTACACCTTCGGATCGGTCATACCCGATTCACGAGTTTACACCTTCGAATCAACCCTGTCCGATTCACGGATTCACACCTTTGGATCGGTCTTGCCCAATTCACAAGTTTACACCTTCGAATCGACCATGCCCGATTCACGAGTTTACACCTTCGATTAGCCTTGTCCGGTTCATGAAGCTACACATTCAGTCAGCCCAGATCGATTGAAGGGTTCTTACACCTCAAAATCGACAAGTGACCCAACCCAATAAAGAGTCTACCCGACTCAGCCACTAGGCCGCACCAAAATCATAACACAAGTATGCGGCTCAACCTCTAGTGCATTTACAAACAAAGAAGCAATCAACAACCCATTCATCTATAAGAAAACATCAAAAACAAAATCACAAGTATAATATAGAAGAAGCCTCAAGCAGTTAAGTTCAAAGTACAATGTAAGACACACACGCCAGGAAAGGGCATCGCAGGCCCAAAGGTACATGAGCAAAAAAAAAGCTAAGTATCATCGGTGCGAGTCGTCTCACCCATCTCCGACTCGGTCACCCTATCACCAGCATCGGCACTCGCCCCTGCAGCCTGGTCGTTCACATCCTCGGTAGTCGATGGCCTTGGTTGGCTAGAAAAATCAAGCGCCTGCTCATCAATCGTCTCCTCCGTATGCTCAGCCTCCTCCATCATCTCTCGCATGAGCTGGATATCCTCATCCGAGTTCCAGTGAGAGGTGTTCCTGTTCTTGTACTCAAGCATGAGCTCTCCCCTGGCCTTAATGATAGCATCGTTGGCAATGTTTAGGCACTGCTCCTTGAGTGACTCGACCTCTGCAGTATTCTCGGCTAGCTCCCTCTTCAGTCGTTCTAGC